ATATGAATTACAGTTCCATACAACCACACAACTAACAAGTAATTTCAATGCAGAATCTGTGTTCCAAGCACTCATAATTTATGCGATCAGAATGGTTTCCCTGTATTCAAATTAGAGCAGAAAGAACGGGTTTGGCTTGCAGTAAAATACCACTGCCACCATAAAATCATAGTCTACTGGTAGCTGCCAGATCTAAATAATAGTTGTTGAAATGCTGGATTACAGCAGTATCAAGCTGCCAGTTTACACTCTTGTCAAAAGCAGTTATTGCAAAGCTCACTGAACTGATGCCTAAATAGTATTAATTTATATTCTAAAATAATTGTCTTACTTCAAGTCCTTCACAGAAGGACTACTGTGTTTTCTTCAACCATATTCTTTTTTAAACATTCACAAGACAAAGTATCCTGAAGCCTCTAGGCTGTCTCAGGAAATACATGTCCTGATCAATTTTCTCCCAGTTATGACTTCCCCTCTGCTCTGTATTCTTTCAGTTATCCTGGTGTATGTAGCATTCCTTGCAGAACTGCAAGGGGAGCTGGCAGGGATCCAGCACAACCTGTCAGCACAAGCAGCAGTGAGGTGATGAGTCAGCAGAGGCACTGTGTGTCTTTGAGCTCTGCTGCACCACTCACTCCAAACCCTCCCAGAGACAAGTCTTGGCTTTGACCTTGAAAAGTGTCCACAGCTCCTGCTCATCCTTATTTTGATGAAAGGGAGGATGTGTCCTTCAGTGAACCTGAAAATGTGCAGCTGCCCTACAGAAGCTAATAACCCAAGGAACAAGAGGCTCTGTGTGATCTGAGGATTATGTGAGGCTTAGCCTGAGAACAAGGCTGGCAGTTTTGTAAAGCAATTCAGTAAGAACCATCACATAAACTGCAGTGTTAAAACTATTTTAAAATAGAATAATTTCACTGCATTTGTGCCACGCTGAATTCACTACATCCCCAAAGTGATAGGTGTACACAGAAAAATCCAGCAGCTGCTACATACACTGTGATTACCTAGAATAAGACAAAATTATCTAGGATTCAGAAATAAGATGTTCACACTGAAAGGACAACAATGTGCCCACTTGTATATTAAGGTATTTTGGACTCCATTCTTTATACTGCGTTTTTAATAAAAAGAATTTAAATGGCTCCCTCTTGTGTCAAGAGAAATGCAGTATCATTTTGGCAAAAATCTAGTCACTTGAGCAGAAATTAGATTTTATCTATATTTATACTGCATAGTCTAGTTTATCAGTATGTTGTGGTGACTGAGGAGACTGAACACATGTATCCCTTGCTGTTCAGGTACTCTTTGAAACTACCTAAAATAAGTACCATAAACAGTTTCCTTTCAGCTGCACATGATGAAGGGTAGGGAAAAATAGGTTGTGAACCTTATGTATAGCATTCCATCTAATTTACTAATGCAGTCTAGACTAGATAGAGATCTTGTCTTGGAGATCCCTGTCCTTAAGGATCTTTAACAGCTCAGCACAGAATATCTTGATCAGTGTAGCTTAGTTTACTTGTGGTGTTTTTCACAGGTGAGCAAATCTTCACCTTGTAAGGGGTGGGAGGAAAGCAATGAACTCTGACGGAAAGCTCTGAGCACGAAAGAGTCAGTGAATGGCTGTGAGGAAGGAAAAAAACTGATTTCAACAATTCTGCAAGTCTCCTTTCCTTCTTTCTAGTACCTCCTAGCTGATAAAATTTATTGTTCTGGCTTTTGAATCATGAAAGCTTTTTCCACAATAATTAATACATATAGAACTCTGAAACTGAAAACTGAGAGGGTTGATTTTTGGGGGTTTTTTTGCATATCATGGAGCATACTTTGGATAACTTTGGATATTAAGCAATAAACTTGGAAATTAACATGAAAGAGGAAAAATACTTATAGGACACTGAAGTCTTGCTAACCTCAAGAGGTAAATAAAATGTATCAGGAAATGTGTGTGTATACACAGGAAGTATCTACAATAGCTTTTGAGAAGGCAGGTCTGAAAAGCTTTGTTTCAAGGAAACAGCTTCACTTCTGTAGTTTCTCACAAAATTTTTTCCTGTGATTATAAATTAACAAAACAAAAACAATCTAAACAAAAAGCAACTCCCACTTCAGAGTGGGAATAATCATACTGATGACTGGAGAGCTTGATAAAGATACTGTGCAGATAACTATCTTGAGAAAATCTCAGTTTATCCTGATTCAGAAGTCTGGCGCTACATGCATAGGAGGCTATGTTTTCTAGCTTGAAAGGGAGCCTATAAAATACTGTATTATGAGTTCTGTTGTAGCCATTTATCCTTTGTAAAAAGTCTTCCCTGCTATAGCCTTACAGGTTGTTACCAGAATGAAGGAAAATATGACTACCAATATCAAATTATATACTCTTTTCAAATCTAGGACTTCATGTCCTCCTCCAAAAATTTGTTCTTACTTCTCATGCAGAAAGAGTTACCACTTGTTCACAGAGAAAAAAAATTACTATGGTGGACAGAATGATCATTCAGTATCTTAGCATTTCTTGTCTGAAGGCCTCTACAGTGGCATCCCACAATCTATTTCCACGTTTCAGAGAAGAACTGCTGAGGGTAGACTTAACTGAGGTGAAACTGAAAGGGTTTATTGAATCTAAAGCGTGTACTTTGGTTCCAAACTGCTGTTTGGAAAAGATCTCATCAGCTGCCACCTGGGACTAGATACATCTAAACCAAAAAATATTCTTTTTATCTATCCAGCCATGCAAAGTTACTTTTCTGAACACAACCACCATCACAATCTTAATGGAACTGAGCTACCTGCCTCATATTCCGAGGCTGAAAAGACAGGATGAGGTAACTGAGCATTTAATTACCTATTTCTTTTGAGGTACTCATTCCAAAATTGTTTGGAAGGTACTTATAAAAAGACTAAGTTGCACTATATACATACACACATAAAAGTATTTTTAAAATCACATTTTCTTGAGTATGGCCGAAAACTGGTACTCTTAACCAATAATCTAGTGGCTGGGGTACCTGCCTGGAAAGCGTAAGAGATACAGGATTCTCAGATGGAGAACATTTCACATCCTCCTCCCTGGATTAAGCACTTTTTTCTTTCATGGGTGATTTCCAAACTGTGGGCTGCTCTAGGAGAGAGGTGCTCTTGGAGTCTCTAATAGCTTGTGTGGAGAAAAGAATAAAAAAAAATTGATTGATCAATAAAGCTCATGAGCTGTATCTTTAGTGGTAAAATACTCCAAGTTAGGCTTTAGACACCTAGCACTAGCATTAAGTCAGTATAGGAGTATTTTTCTAGTCAGTTTGCATTCTTTACAGTATAAGTGTGTCTTGTGAGGTATTGGCATATCTAAAATGGGGGCCACTACAATTTATTTGATGCTTACTTCTGTTTCAATACTGTAATGAAAAATATTGTAGGAGGCAAAAGTCAATCTCTTTGAAGGTGGAAAACTTTGAAAAGCTGCTTTTTTCTTCTTGACTCAAAGTAAAGGTAGATGCTTTCATGCTGACCTTATTTACTTGTTTTTCCTTTGGGGGACATTTCCTCTAGCCTCCACTAAGGAGAAGGTTTTGTATAGTAGAAATTATGAGTGAGACTCATAATTCAATTTTAGAAAGCATTTCCCAAAGAAACCTCAGGCTAGTACTCTTGACACTTTTCAGAAAGAAAATTAGGTTTGTGGTTTCTTAGTAAGCTTTCGTGTCTCGTTTCTGCTTAACCTCAGGCAATGAAATGTAAATCGTTAAACAAGGTTTGGATGTGAAATGTAATATTCCTTCCTTGTGTATGCAGGATTTTGGTAAGCAAACAGGTATGCTGATTTAGACAATAATTTTTCCATCTGAGAAAGGAGACTTTGATGCAGACTTTGTTCTGCATCTCCATCATACCAAACCTTGCTGGTTGATGTACAGGCAGTACCATCAGTCAGGATCAAGTTTCCCGTGACTTGTGTGTAACTCTTAAAAGCGAATGCTGCAATCTGACTTAACATCATCGAGCTTTTGTGTGAGTCATAGTGCTGTCAGGTGGCTGAAACGCACTGCAGCGCATTCCTAGACCTAAGCTAACAATCTATACCACAGCAAGTATTTCCAGCCTTAACAGACTGCAGGATATAAAGATCTCATGGTATTTATTTATGCCATAGGTGCATCTTTATTTTTGGTAGGCGCTGTGAGTTCACCAACTCCTGTAGCTTAACCACATACAATTTCTTTAAATAAACCCACTGCGATCTCACTCATTGAAACAAAAAAAAAAAAGTGAAGGTTTATAAATAAGCAGCTTCCCACTGCCGCCTCCGGTGCCGCTGGTTGTGCAGGCCCTCTCCTATGCAAAGCACTCGAGCGGTGTAAGCGGATGTTGCATAATGTGATTATGGGCGCTCTGAACTGAGGAACGCGTCCCACTTGTGGCATGTTACACACGGCCGCCTCGGTTCTTTCATTGAACAGAAGCTGTGATGCTGCTTTTATATTCCTGGCAGCTGTCAACTGCTAAAGCAGAAGATTAGGGGATTGGGCCCTTTTTTTTTTTTTTTCATTTGTACTGAAAACCTGTAATGCTTCCTCTCTCTTATGCCTTTAATTACATTTCAGGTCGTCTCCTCCTCTGTATGATCCCAATACACCACCCTAACTCATATTATAGGAATTTGCACGTATACGTAACCAAGATTTTTTAAAAATTAGCCTAGAAAGCGTATCTACGCGGTGTATCTACCGCTGAGGGAACATGGCGGTGACTTCCCGACTTGTCTCCAGCACCAGCCACATTCGCCATGCGGGGTGAACTGCACTGCTTGTCGTCCCCCGTCGCTGCTCCCTGGCTCGCCGCTGAGGCGGGGGTGCCACAGCCGGGGGTGCCGGCGGCCCCGGCCCCTCAGCGCCCCTCACGCTCCCGGCCCCTCGCGGCCGCCGCGCGGGGCTGGCTCCGGCGCTGGCGCGGAGCTGCGCAAGCGCGGCGTGCGCTGTGTCGCGGCGGGCGCGCGGGATGCGGGCGGCGGGAGCGCATGGCAGGTGGCGGGAAGCGGAGGCCGCGCGGCGCGGCGGGACCGGCCGGAGAGCAGGTGGGGCGGGGGCGGCGGGACGCGGCCGGGGCGGCGGGCACTCTCCGAGGGCCGCGGGCCTGCGCGGGTGCCCGGTGCTGTGTGTCGGCCCTCTGTCTCCTTGCCCCTCGTTGTGGTTTGCTCGGTGGCTTTGGGGACAGTCACAGGGCCCCGCGTTCTACCCGCTCCTCCGCCGGCCGTCCCGCGGGGCCGCCGCGCTCGAGGTGCGCTGGGCCCAGCGGCCGCCGCATCATCCCGGCGGGACCGCGCTGGGAACGGAGACACGCGCCGCGACCCGGCTTTCCTGGCAGCGGCCCTGCTTCAGGGATGCTCTCTTAAGAACAAGAAAGAAAACTTGTTGCTTGTTTATTTATTTATTTTATTTTTTATATTCTTGCAAATGAGGGAGTAGCGTTTCCTACGAATTCATGGAGATTTAGGTGGGAATGGGGTGGTTGAGGCTGCTGCCCCAGTAGAGTGTGTCTCTATGGATCATTTCCTAGCCTGCTTCACCTCACGTAACATAATTTTTAAAAGCAGCTCCACTTCTAAGCTGCATCTAAAATGCTGCACCGAAAACTGCAGTAGTTGTGATATTGAATAGCGCATTAGTTAAAATAGTAGAGACCAGAGAATTTTTGCTGTATTAATTTGACAAAATAGTCCTACTTTCAGCTGTCTGAAAAACACAAACATATTGCATGCTGTCTGCAGTGTGCTTGGAAATGGTCATTGTAGAACAATGTAGAATTCGATTAAACTTTAGGATTGCTTTCTGCTTTGCTTAATTAACTAACAGAAGTGCTTCTGTTGACTATATTAACCCATTAATATCAAAGTAGCAGTTTGCTACTGCAGACATGTTTAGTATATTTGTCAGACTGCACTTTTAATGGGTTCTTTCCAAAACAGATGTTCTAGGTAGTATATATGCTGCTTTAACTAACAAACATGTCCTAATGGATCTTATCCTTGTTCCTCTATGAGTATAAAAGCTTTGTAGACTCTTTCGGTGGAGCTGAGAGAAAGCAGCTAAATTAACTCTGTTTGGGGTTTTGTTTTGTTTTTTTTGGTTTTTTTTTAATCTACAGAGTGAAAAAAATGGAGCTGTCAAGAAGAGAAGATCAAACCAGGCAGATGTTCCTGACAGTCTTTGCCAAGAAGCAGAAACATGCTATCGGCTTAGACTGCCTGAGGACTTCTATCAGTTTTGGAAGTTTTGTGAGGAACTAGACCCTGAGAAACCAAGTGGTGAGGTTTTAAATTTTGCCTCTTCTAACTTTTGCTCCTGAAAGCAGGTCAGCTAGAGTTGGTCAGATGCATTTTAATGAAGCTTCAGCTTTTCACTTGAGATGGAGGATATTTGCATGAGTGTAAACTAAAACACTGGCTATAATCACCAAGATGTACACTTCAAGCTTTCTAAAATGTAACTACTGAAGTTGTGCAATGTAAAGGGACTAAATGTGGTCTAAATCTGCTTTCCTCGCAGGTGCATTTAAAATGTTTAGTGTGGAACCCGAGTTTCCTCACATGTCATGGCTTAATCCCAGTCACCAACTAAGCACCACACAGGCACTTGCTCACTTCCCCTTGGTGAGAGAGAATTGAAAGGGCGAAAGTGAGAAAACATGGGGGTTGAGCTGAAGATAGTTTAATAGGGAAAGCAAAAGCCACAAGCAACACAAAACAAGGAATTAATTCACCACCTCCCATGTGCAAGCAGGTGTTCAGCCATCTCCAAGAAAGCAGGTCTTGTTGAGCATGATGCCATATGTTGTGGAATATCCCTTTGGTCAGTTGGGATCATCTGTCCCAGCTGCATCCCTTCTCAGCTTCTTGTGCACCCACAGCCTCCTCGCTGGTGGGATGAGAAGTTGAAAAGACTTTAACTCAGTGTAAGCGCTACTAAATCTGGATTTCAAACTCTTCAAGTTTATTATGTAACAGAATGTGGCATCCCTGTGTGCTCTAGAAATGACTGTGTCTTTTAGAGTCAGAATGGTTTGGGTTGGAAGGGATCTTTCAAGGTGGTCTAGTCGAACCCCCTGCACTGAGCAGGGACATCTTCAACAGAGCTAGGTTGCTCAGAGGTGGGTCAGCCCAGCCTTAAATGTTTCTAGGCCATCCACTGTGTCTCAGGGCACCCAATGTTTTACCACCTGTATCATAACGCTTTTTTTTTCTTGTATTTAGTCTGAATCTACCCTGTTTTAGTTAAGAACCATTATCCCTTGTCCTCTTGCTACAGGCCCTGCTAAAATGTTTGTCCTTATCTTCAATACCTAAAGTACTGAAAGGCTGCAGTAAAGTCCCTGAAGCCTTTTGTTCTCCAGACTGAACAACCCCAGCCCTCTCAGCCCATCTTTATAGGAGAGGTGCTCTTGGCCTCTGATCATCTTCATGACCCTGTTCTGGACCCACTCCAGCAGATACATGACTTTGCTGTGCTGACAACCCTGGAGCTGGATGCAGCACTGCAGGTGGGGTCTGAGCAGAGCAGAGGGGAGAATCCCCTCCCTGGCCACGCTGCCTTGGATGCAGCCCAGGACACGTTTGGCTTTCTGGGCTGGGAGTGCTCATGGCCAAGTGATGTCCAGCCTCTCAGCCACCAACACCCCCAAGTCCTTCTGGGCAGGGCTGCTCTCCATCTGTTCATCCCCAGCCTGTGCTGATACCAGGGTTTGCTTTCCAAGACCACTTGCTCTTGTTAAACCGGAAGAGATTCCTACGGGCCCAATACCTGAGCTTGTCCAGATCCTTTGGGATGGCATTCCATCCTTCAGGAGCATCTGCATCCCACAGCTTGGTGTCACCTGCAGATTTGCTGAGGTTTGCTGATCCAGTCTTATGTAATTGATAAAGATGAATATTGAACAATACTGGTCCCAGTACAGAGCCCTGAGGGACACTGTCATCACTGATCTCCATCCTGACATTGGACTGTGGCTGGATGGCTTCTTTTTATTAAAGTGTAATAATAGCTCTTCAAAAAAACTATCTGGACAAAACAATTCTTAGCTTTCCTTGTCTAGTGAATAGTGTTTGACTGAATTTATGGAAACTTGATACCTGAGCAACACCGGAACTTCCTGGTCTAGACGTGCACCTGATTCGTGGTTTTCTTTTCAGATGCACTTGTGTCAAGTGTTGGACTTAAACTGGTTGGACCATATGATATTCTTGCTGGAAAACACAAAAAAGCAAAAGCAACAGATGTGAACTTCAATCTTCATTGGAGATTCTTCTATGATCCTCCAGAATTTCAGACTGTACTTGTTGGGGATAGCAGAACACAATATCACCTGGGATATTTCAGGTATTTTGTTTCCTGTGTGCTCTTGCTGCTCTACAACTATGTGTAGCTTTTGTCCTCTTTTTCCATGAAACATAACTTGTGTGCTATCACCAAGCAAGAATCTTTCTTTTTTGTAGTAGGACATTAACACATGGCTTTATCATTTTATTAAAAAAGTTTGCAGGAACAGGAGTTGAAGACTAGATTTAAATATTTATTAATCTAGCTCCTCCAGCCATCCAGAGCACCTTCACTCACTAATCTTTAACTTTTGCCATGATACTGAGAAGAAAATCAAATTACCAAAAGGAAATGTGTATTCTCTCTGCATGCATGGATGCAAGCTCTTTTCAAGGCTTGCTGTAAGATTTTAGAGCTTTAGATCTAAGAGCATTTCTTGGTGGAGTTCTGAAGGAGACGGCAGCATAGCGAGGAGGCAAATTTAGTTTTGCTTTGAAATAGGACTCAGCTTGACTATTTCGTGTGTACTTTTTCATCAATAGGGATGTGCCAGATGAGCTCCCAGTGTGGGTTGGTGCAAATGAAGCGAAGAAGGGTTGTGTGATTTCACAAGTCGGTGATAATGTCTTTGCTGCAGTCAAGTAAGGTTTATATTTACTTTTATTTACAAAGAACAGAATAGAGAGAAATTGTTAATTGGGAGGTGGGATGTGGAATAATGAAGCTAGCTTATTATATGTCTTTCTTAAGAAACCCTCAGTTACTTTCTGTCCCTGTTGTCAAGTTTTAAGATTCTCTCAGAAGCCTTTGTAGGCTTTTTAACAGTGTTTTCCTTTCAGAACTAAAATAAATAAGTGTTAACTACATCATTCCTTAAATATATTGGCAGTGACAGGCTCTAAATTGGAAAAAATATGCACTGGATACGTTAAAATAATTTTGTAAGTAGAGAAAGGCCATCTCAAACAGTGGTGAAGGAAATCTGAGTATCGTAGTATATTAATAGCATCTGGCTCTTGTTCTTGTCTACATAAAGATACATTATTTTTGTATATAATTAATATCTACAAGAAGTACCATTTCTGCCCTATGGCAGGATAACACTGATGTGGATATGTAGTTCAGTCTGATTCATGGAACTTTACATGTTCCTGCGTCAGGAATGTAAACAACTGACCTCATCCCTGCCGGTTAAAAATGGAAAGCTCTCTAAGGACAGACACGCGTCAGTCAGTGAAAGCAGACTGAAGAATGGCTTCTGCAAAAGAGCCCTTGTGCACTGCAGGGTTAAACAAGGACATTTGTTTTGAAAGTACCATGGGGAAGCTCATAAATATGTATTTCTGTGCATGACTTGGATGACAAATGGTGTATATGACTCGGGAACAGCAAACTGAATTCTTAAGATAGAAATATGAACAGTTACTGAGGCCGGGAGAAATTTAAGCACCTGCAGATTGCATAAGCTAGATTGTAGTGCAGGTAGAGATAAGAAAAGCCCAAGTACTACATGTGCCAAACTATTTTCTTGCCTCCTCTTAAGAGGCTTGCATTTTCAAGTCTCTATATAAAGAAACACAGGACTGCTAATCTTTGTTGTTAAGATCTAGAGGTTTAACATTTAAAAAGCTATTAATTTTTCTTTGTTTTCTTGACATGTTTCATCTGTTTGCAGATTATTTTTGTCAAAAAAACTTAAGGAAGTGGCTGATAAAAAGAAAAATGCTGTTTTGAAAGACATAGATGAAAAGCTAACAAGAGCAGCAAAAGAACTGGGTTATTCTCTGGAACAGAAAACTGTGAAGATGAAACAGAGAGATAAGAAAGTATGGCTTTCCTCATCTACTGGAGAGAACTAAGTTCTGTTAAATTTTTTTCATTTACTTCCTGTTTGTGTTTTTCCATTCTTTTAGTCAGTAAGGATACTACATTAGGAATTTCCAAAGGTAATCAGCTCTCTATAAAACTTCAAAAGAGGGAAGATTACTAGAAGTGTGTTCCAAATAATAGGATTTAATAAAAACACTATACTCTTGTAAATCATAGCTTGGCATTCAATTAAAAACGAAACAAGAACAAATCACCACCAAAAAAAACCTCAGTAAGCACAGTAGTCTAAAAACTGGAACAAATAGATGCCATGGAGAAAACTTTAAATGGAAGATTGTTCTAAATAGTGGGGTTGGATCTGTTAGAAACAGGACCATGAAGGATGATATGGATGATAGAGATTTTTTGCTTACCTATTAAAAATAATTATGGTAGGAGGGGACTAAAAAAATATGGTACAATGTAACACAAGTGACTACAAGGGTTCCTAGAATTCAGAATTTCCCTGAAATGGCATTTCCAGTTATTTCAAACTTCCAGTACTTGAAATTAATTGCAATATAATTTGAAACTTAAGTTGATGTCCTGGAGGCAGGACACCATGTTAGGTTTCAGCACCAGCAGTCAGGTGTTAGTGTTTAATGAGGTGAGGTTTTTTTAGGTCACAGTACTGTCTTAGGGTGCTATGTTCCATTTTCTGTCTCTATTCAGGTGGTGACCAAAGCATTTCATGGAGCAGGCCTAGTTGTTCCTGTAGACAAAAATGATGTTGGATACAGAGAACTTCCTGAAACAAATGGTAAACATCCTGTTTACTATATCCCTCTGCTTTTTTGAAGTAAACACCCCTCAGTAAAAAACAAACTGCATTAATGTTTTCTACTTTAAAAATTTGACTGAGGGGAGTAAAATGTAGAAGTCCTAACCATCACACTTGACCTCAAGGTATTGTCATTAAAGGAACCATATGAGACTCAGTGAAACATGCTAAATCTGAGAAGAGAATGCCTGAAGAAGGAGTTGAGATGATCTTTTGTTTTGTATTGTCAAAGCCATGCAGGAAGTAGAGCAAAAAGCTGATCTACATTCAGGGATGTGTGGGTTTATTTCTTATCCACCCTCTTCTTCCAGTGTCATTTTAACCAGAATCAGTGTCTTGATGAAACGTCAGCGCACAAGTGCTTGCCTCCCTTTGTGAGGAACTGAGAGGGATGGGCATGGGGCAAGAATGAGCTTCCAAGGAAAGGGGGAAGCTTCACCAGCAGTTCAGGGTGTGCCCACCTACATTATGTGTAAGTGTGGCGCATGGGTATAGTTTTGCCACAGAATACTTCTGTGCAATATTAAATTTCTTTATTTAAGCATCTAAATATCTGCTTTTGTTTTTTTTGCAGCTAATCTTAAAAAAATTTGCAAGGCCATTGTTGATGCACCGACTGATGAGGAGAGAGTGAAGGCCTTTGCACCCATTCAAGAAATGCTGACTTTTGTTCAGTTTGCTAATGATGAATGTGATTATGGAATGGGGTACGAGCTGGGCATGGACCTGTTTTGCTATGGATCACATGTGAGTACTACAACAATCAAATTTCATGATATCATGCATGGGCTAGAAGTTGTTCTGCTGCAGATTAATTATCCCTAGGAATTGTAGAGGTCTACGAGAATATTCTTAATTCATGAAGACTGTTAAAAAGTCACACAACATCATTCCATATTGAATTTAAAATTGTGTGTATGAAGGCCCAATCCTGCAATCCAGAAGCAGAGTGTGAAATACCAGATTCAAATACACTGAATAGCTGGAGTCTCCTGTTCCCAGCTACTTGTATAGGCACCCATATTCAACCAGACCAAGAAACAGCCTGGTGGTTGTAGTAACCCCAGCTGGAAGAATGAGAAGCCTGGTGAGCTGCCTGTCAGTAAGGGGATTGATTTTGATGTGCTATTAATTCGTACTTAATGCTTTTTGTTCTGTATTAGCTACTGGCCTGCTGATGAAAAGGGTCATGGCTGTAATTAGTCAATGGCTAGAAAATAACACATGAAGTTTCAACATCAGCTTAATATGAATGGATCATCACAGAAACACCCCAGAAAACAGCTGCTTCTAGCAAAACTAGTATTGGCTAAGTGGTGCTCCAGACTATCATGGGAAAGATAAGTTTTTGATACGAAATGTAGGCCCAAAAGAGCTGTGCTGATTACTGGTTAAAATAGTTAGCCATTGAAATGTATGAAAACTGACTGCTCTTGCCATACACTGTTAAATTACTAATGTGTTTCTTAGATTTCATGCCCTCCTCTCTTTAAGTTCCATGCAGTATCTGAAAATGTGCTCATTTAGAAACCTTCTTTCAGAGACTAGGCTGCTTCAGCTGCTTAAAACTTTTCTACAACTGGAAGGGCAGTGAAGGAAACAGTTATTCCCATTTTTCTGAGTAGGTGGAAGCAAATACTCATCTTCCAAGCTTTGTGCTTCTCAGCACATGAGACTAACCACTGACAAAGTCCTGCAGTGAAAAACTGTGTTTACAGTACTGTCATGTGTCTTGTCTGTTCCATACTGCAGCTTGTAACACCTGTAACTTTGCAGCTGTTTTCTAGCATTAGAAACCTTCATCTTCTAGTTTAGTAAATGGAAGAAGCAGTGGCTGCACACATGTTTTGCTCAGTTAGGTCCCTGCCTGTCTTGGAGCTCCTGCTTGGAGCTGTTTTCCAGTTCTGACTGGAGCATTCCTGTCCCTTTGCTTGCAGAGCCAGAGAAACACTGACACTTTATCTGTAGCCAAAGACAGAGAGAAGAACTTGAATCATCCCCTTTGTTTGAGAGATACAATGGACTTACATGTACAGTAATGATTGTAAATGCTAAATATGCTCTGATGTTTATACATTTGAAGTTCTTAAATGGTTACTGTAAGTACCACTGTAATCCGCTCAAACTGTGGGGTGGGACAAGACATGGGACTGTACCAGGACCGGGGACTTCACCTGCAGGCTCCAGCTTGGGATGCGGTAGTGAGTAGGATCATCGTTTCTTGCACTGCCAACACTCGCTTTCTCTCCCTGCAGCAGCTCGGGCACCCTGTCTGCCCGTGCTGTGGCTGTTACAGCTGCAGCATGAGGATGTGCTCAGGCGTTTTGGGAGGGGTTGAAGGGCGCAGCGTGAATGGGGCAGGGCCAGGAGGTGGGGCCGCTCCCGGAATTAAGAAAGCCACTGAGGCCGAGAGTGGCTCTTGTTTTCGCTTCTCTCCTGCAGTACTTCCACAAGACAGTGGGCCAGCTGCTGCCTCTGGCTTACACCCTGCTGAAGAGGAACCTCTTTGCCGAAATCATCGAGCAGCACCTGGGCAACCGGCGGGAGGAGGGCCTGGATCGGCTGGCGCCCTGAGCCGGGAACGGGGGCTGTGGCTGGGGGCGGCCCTGCGCGCCCGGACCGGCCTTGTCTGTGTGTCTGTGGGTCTTTTTGTACTCGGTGGCGGTGTCCCCTCGGTCAGTAAAGGTTTTCTAAGGAACGCGCTGCTTCCCGCTGCTGGCTGCGCACGGCGGGCCCGGGACGGGGAGCGGGGCTGAGGAGCTGCGGGGCGGAGCTGCGCACGGGCGGGGCTGTGGGGCACACGGCGGCCTGCCCTGCCCCGCAGGCCCCGGCAGCCGCAGCCGGCCGGGGCTGCTGCGCTAGGGCAGCACGGAGAGGGCGGGCCGCTGCACAGCGCCGCTCCGAGCTCCTGCGGGCATCGCAGGGAGCCGCTGGGGCTCCGTCACCACCCCCTTCCTGTGCCATATGCAAACCGATCCCCACGTCTCTGCTCCACGTGATGGTTCTGCCCTTCTCCATTTCTCCACTTGTGTCCTACCGCTCAGGTAAAGCGTTCCCTTACTGCAGCATTCCCTTCTGTGACAAAGCACTATCCCTGTTCCTGCACTGCTGGAGCTGGTTCAGGTGGGAGGAAACTGATGGGATGAAGGAAATGCTAACTGACATTACAAGATAAATTAGGAATTCCACTGCAGTTGCTGCCTTGCTAATAAGAAGAAGCCATCTCCAGTTTTAAATATTTTAAAATTAAACCCAAGTGATTTTGTACAAGGCGCAAATTAATTGCTTTCAAGGTCCTTAGTCCCCACTTCTGTGTTTCTGTTACTGCACTTGGAGGTTTATTCTCTGACTATTAAAGCAACAAAAACAATGGGAAATAACACTGGCTCTTACTCAACAGCCCTGCCACCATCCAGTGACTTGACTTCCACTGTAGCAATTCACATTAGTACTATTGACAGCAATACTAATTACTACTGAAAGATTATAGGCCAGTAGCACCATGCTAAAATGTAAGCAATTCATACTCTTTTAAGCAAAGGATTGTCAGTTACATGTTACTTCATGGTAGAAGGGAGCAGTGGAGGTACAATATAGGTTAGAGTGCTGCAAAAGTGTTGTGAGTTTCAAATGCACAGGGTACTCACATGCCACAGCTGCTAGTGCAAATTTTACAACTTTACCCCTTTCATTCAGCATATTAATGTCCCAGTTACTCAAGCACGGACGAACACGCACTCATTCATAGGCCTAGAGGTTTTTTTGCACATAAAAACCAGTTTTTTTCCATCTCATTTCCATCTCCTTTTTGTTTCAAGTACAGGAGACCTTAATATCATGCTGTACAGGCCCTGTAAATCACACAAGTACTAAAACAGTAGAATCATGGAAAGGTTTGAGTTGGAGGGGACCTTAAAAATTCAGCTTTTTAACTGTTACTTAAATATTAACTTAGATCTGCAAAAATGAGGACCTGAGACTGGGCATCCATATTCATGTATTTACCCCTGATGGAGAAGGAAATCTGTTAGAGCAGCTGCAGCATGACTGATGTGCTGTGTATGAATGAACTGAGACGGACTTTTTAGCTGGGCCTGCTGCGCTAGGACAAGGGGTAATGGTTTTAACTAAAAAAGAGTAGATTCAGACTAGATAGGGGGAAGACTTTTATTATGAGAATGGTGAAATATTGAAATGGGTTGCCCAGAAGGGTGGTACCTGTCCCTCCAAGTGTTCAATGGGTGGGGCTCTGAGCAACCAGTCTCATGGAAGGTGTCCCTGCCCATGACAGGAGGGTTGGAATGAGGTGATCTTTAGGCTCCCATCCAAGCCAAGTCATTCTATGACGTGTACATCATCAACAGACGGTTTTCAGACAATAAAAGGATCATCCATTTTTAAGTATTTTAAATCAAAAGGATTTTGTTTAAATTCTGTAATTAAAACAGAATCTTAAGTGTTTATTCTGGAAAAATACCCCACCTAAGGCAGATCAGTTTGATGGGGTAGATTTGGCTACTAATTTTTAGCCAAATGCTAGACAATGCAAATACTGCATCTCCTAAACTCCATTCTTTTTGTCAAATCTTCTTACTAGTTTTGTATGTGAAATTCCCAGCTGTTAATTTTCTCTTAGGGGAAATAAATGCAAAAATCAACACAAATCTTGTTTGTGAAAACAATAAGAAAACATGACAGAACAATAAATGGTCATACAGAAGTTTTTAATGCTTGATTAAATCATCACAGTAATAACAATTTTTACTGTAATGATATGCAGTTCTACCACACTATTATAAATAAAAACATTAAGATCAATATTAAATACAGCTCTAGGCAACATCACAGATTAACAAAGAATGCATTCTTCATGAACCAGTATCTGAATGATTTAAAAAATAAAAAAATGCTGACACTTTCCCCCTCCCATCCCCCACCTTTTTTTTTTTTTTGATTAATAATTTGAGTAAGGCGCTGCAAATTTCACGTTAGAAATTTTTTGTTGCACAGCACAGGCACACATACTTCATTAACAGAACCTCTACTGCATGTTTACCAGAAGACATTTTAAATGTCAACAGGGAAAGCTTAGCAGGCCAAGAGTAAACAGAGATGCACAATTTACGTGCAGCTCTCGGGATCCACACAGAAATGAAACACAGCGGGAGTGTGAACTGTATTTTAATTCAGACAGCAGTCTCTAGAATTAGGTGCAAGTTAATACAGTACACACGGCAGTGTTTTACAATAACACCAGACATGGCAGAGATTTCAAACTGATTTAAAATGACTTTTGTATGTGTGGTGAGTTTGTATTCTTCCACTGTAAAAAAGAAAATCAGAGAACAGAAATCAATGTCAGAGACAACTTCCAGAGCTGCCTTCTGTAAATGGGCCTAATCCTGCTCTTTGTGAAGCTTCCTCTTCTTCAAGCTTATGTAATCTAACAGAACAAATTTTTAACAACTAGCACTGACTTCACATGGAAGAGTACAGCTGGTTGTTGCCATGCTCCCATTTTTATATAGCCCAATTCCCTGTTTCATTTCCAAACCTGTTTTTAATGCAGGGCCTGATCACTGTGATCCACCTGGCACATTTTACTTTCTACTGGTTCCAGTTGCTACTGGAACTGAGATGACAAAATGTAGATGGCAGTTTTTTCTAAGAAAAATAAGTTCAAATTCAACAATGCACTTACTTCTGCACAGCCATTTTTGTGCAGCTCAGCTAAAGTGCCAGAATTTTGGTTCATTGTGTTACTCTACTTAAGATAAAATCATACTAACTACTTCGTGAATAAAGATGTTTGAGGTAACTGTGATGAATGCCTTAAGAGATATTTAAGATTATTATGTTAGACTTTTAGTGTTTATGTTCTTGCCATTTTTGCAGTCTTGTGAGCATAATTGTTAAAAAGAAAGAAATTCTATCCAGCCTCATATTACAAAACATTATTTTTGTCAGCCAGATTTAGTTTTTTTCCTTCCTAATTTAGGCTTATAGCATATTGTCATTTTTCCTCTGCATGCAGTTCTGGTGGTGGTCTGGTGAAATGAATAGGAAACAAAACAAAGTACTGTAAAGAAGTTAGGGGTCTGTCAGTTCTCCAAGTGTGTGTGTGTTGCTGCTGAATTTTAAAGTCCTGCCAAAGTTTCAAGTACTGGATTCAATTCTGCCCTGCTGCTCAGGTTTGACTACATATAATTTACACCTTTGTATACTTGGGAGAAAAGAAGAGTCAAAAGCAACTAATAGTTGCTTTCTCCTATTACTTTTGAAACCCTACAGGTTTGGGTTTTTTTAAATAAAACCCTACTATTACTGTTCCAGTTATCTGTTAGTAAAGAAAGAAGGAAATCCAAGGTAACGGCAGTGAAAGTTACATTTGAAAATGATCTTGTATGTATGTTGGATCATAAAGAAGCCATTTTCTTGAAAACCTTCATCTAGCTGTAAACATTTGCTAATCCTCCGTTACTTGCAGAGGATTATGAATTATTCTATAAAATCACATTAAAAAGGTAATTAGTTATGTGAGATATTAACTGATTCATATTTAATAGATTTTTTAAATCCATACAAATATAAATAAAGAATGGTAAAACTTCAAGAAAAATAATATACATTTAGTGCAAATTATGAGTTACATTTCTTCCTACCATGTCAGCAGTGGAACGTCTTTTGTGGAGGAGAAAAAATAAAAATGACCATTCGCAAATTTTACAGGGGGGGAAAAGATCTCCAGTGTTGAAGCATGCATTTTTTTACCAGATACATGTATACAGAATTGTTCCAGCTCTTAAACTAGTAGAATAGCAGTATTTTTCCTTATACTGCACAACATTGGTATATATCATAGTGTGTTCAATAATACAAAAATTGCATAAGACCAGGTCACATTATTGATATTTTCTGCAGCAAAACCAGTATCTTTCTTTAAAATACTAGTGTCACCTGGTTTTAGTTTTCTCATATCATGACAGCACATGGGTTGAAAGAAGTCTCACGTGGTTCTTGAAAAGTATTACCTGTTCAATCTGGTTTTGTTGCAGTGGATCTGCACTGCCCCAAGCATTTAGTGATGTACGAACTTACACATTTAATGGCACAAGGAAAACCTCCCTTCTTGTGATCACACCTCAGTAACTCACAGTACATCTCAATATGAGAAACAACTGCTTCAAAAGGGCACACCAATTTTAAAGAGGCTTTGTTACGGCTCAGGAGAGAGAGAAATAAAGCTCTTCTGGAATGTAGAAAGGTGACAAGTAATAGTTAATACGTTTCATGAGTTAACACAACAGTTTTCAATGGTAAAAAGGGCAAGACCTTTCAGTCTCCACAAGATGGCTCAATTCAGAATGATCCCTCCAGAAACAGGGATTAATAACACATCTCTTCAATGCTGAAGTACCAGGCTGGGCTGGAGAATGGCACCACTTTGCATGGCTCACCCACTGCACTATCATGGCAGACCTGATGTCTCGGGACGCATCCAGTGCAGGACAGCAGCTCTCCCTTCCCACACTCCCATCAGCCTTCCTCCTCGCCACACGCTCCCCCAGACTGACTCCTGATTGCCAGCAGCACTGTTATGTAAAACCCAGCTCGTCTCTGATTTTAGAATTTTTCCCCAGACTAAAGTGTTGTGCTATTCAACAAATGAACCTCCTCTTCCGTTTCCTCTCTCTCCTCAGCTATGGGTTTCAGTTGAACATTATGGAGGCGGGGTCTTGGTTTGCCGTCTGGGCCATATGACGGAGGATATCTTTTTTTGTTATAATGCCAAGGAGGCGCCTGAAAAGGATAAATGGAAGACTGATATTAATCCAAGCAGGAAAATAATGAAGTAGAACAAATCTGTAGCCAAGTCCTTTTTGTTGACAGGAATAGAGCAAAAGTAAACAGCCTGATTTTCTTATTTAAACAAACATTTTATTTATCAAAATGTTAAGGAACCACCAGTTTGATAAAACACAGCAATGCTGAGACACTGTATCAAATGGTCTCTGACAGCTGTAGCCCATTTTAATGAAATACAAGTCATACAAGTAGAGCCCATTACAATTTTTATTTAACTTTTTGTTTCTACAAAAATCAAATTTTCATTAGCATATGCCAACAAAAAAGTAACAAAGGGGTACAAAGAAAAGAGAGGTATGAAAAAGAAGTGACAGTGATCCCATCTCATAAGGAAGGCATGTTCCAACCTAGCCATCAGAAGTGATGTACTGCTTGATGGCCCCAAATCAAGCAAATCAAACTCCCCTTCCCTCCTTTTTTAAACCAGAAGGATCCTTCTGACACACTGGCTCAGATTGAATGTATTCATAGGAGCACACTGTACTGGCCACAAAACTTTTGTATAATAAACAAGAGTTAATTAGTTCTTGGAGTTCATGGCTTTAGAAAAAAATAAACTGTGAATAATAAAATTTTCATTTCCCAATTTAGATACTGTGCTCTTATGACAGGATCTTTTAAAACTATAACTGCAAAACATCAAATAGAGTGAGACTGTCCAAAAGGATAATATCACAAGAGAAGCAAAGAGCAGAATGAATGAGCTACTGCCCTTGTTATTCTGGTTAGTACATTTCAATTTGTCATATTAAAGGACGCATGAAATACTTGTGAAATATTAGCATAAAATGAGAACATAATTAGCATGTTTTGCACATAAGCAGCTAAACATGGTGGGTATGTTTAGTAGACATGGAACTAGCAACCCATGTCCAAATTAAGACAAAGTGTACCACCTATCTAAGGGGTTAGTTCACAACATCATGGTTAAAACCATATCTAGATTCTGAAGTCAACAGTCAACATGGTAGCAGGCCACTTGGTGGCTGGTATCACTGCACATTTTGTAAAGGATTACACTGACTGCTGTAGGTAACAGCGGCAGAATCACAGACTTTACATAAAATCACAGGACTTTGCTAAAAAATAATATTTTCAAAAATTTGTGTTAGTAAAGGGGGATTACAGGGAAGATCTAATGATGCAATTAAAACATGCTTATCTCTGCTTCTCAAAAGATGTGATACTTTGCTATTTAACAGCTATTTAAAGCTGTCCAAATCAGAGAAAAAATTGGCATATACAAAAATCTTAATTTGCATTAGGCAGGGAAAAAGTATTCCTAGCTGCGTGCCTTCCCACCTGGGGAATTCAAGAGATCAACCAGCTGGATCGATGTGATCTCATCAACACAAATATCAGAAAGTTTATTGTTTACTTTCCTTTAATGTTGTGACTAACAGTATGTTCACATTTATAGCTTCTTTTCTACAAAAGGATTTTGCACGTTGTTTTATGTTTAATACAAATTTTGAGCATTAGAAGATTTCATTGTTCAGCCGATACCATAAGAGCCCTGAACAGTTCACAAGTTTCATGCTTCCTGACTTCTAATGTGTCTAATTATGAGATCTGATATATCTAATCACCAAGGGTTCGACGTGCTGCTTTAGTTGCTCGAGATGCTCTAATATGTTCTTCTTTGTGATGATCCCCAAGACAATCCTGCAACAGATTATGTTATGCTAATAA